TTGTTCTCATGCTCTGGAGTTTCATGTTGTAGCGTGGGCCTTATAATATGGCAAAAGCCAAGTGTCATGCCTGCGTCGAGCCGTCTTTAATCTATTTTAAATAGCGTTTTTTTGATGTGTATTCACCAGTAGTTCTAGCCTGCTAGTAGTGCCGCTTAGCGTAAACTCATCCCTCGATAAACCTATTTCTGATTTGTTAAAAAGAAAACTTACGCTGTTACTCAGAATGAACTATTTCGTCCTGGACGAAATCGTCGTTCTTGTGTGTGGGAAAGTTAACGTTGCATTTATCATCATATTCTTCTCACAGCTGAAGATCCTTGGTCTATGCACGGAATACTGCAGCTGATCTCAACAAAGTCGCTATTTAAAGATACACATCCTTATTTAGGCCCTTCTGGTCTTGCTTCCTGACATGAATAGCAGATAACATTGTAAATTTACCAGGATATGTACAGTTGATACCTACGGATGTCTAGGTTTCTCTGTGATATCGATGATTTGGTAACAACATAGCTCTGCCTCCCCATGCCTAATGATGTTGGATAAGTTAGGGTGATTCAAAATATATGGCGGTTATTTACCTGTCCTGTTTACTAGGGTATGTCGAATTATTTCGCAATATCAAGATATATCTGCAAACGTAATTTCGCCTAGTCCAAAATCTAATTTCAAGATATCTGTAAATTACATATTGACTAGGCAGAATGAAGTTTACAGATATCTCCAATTTCAGATATCTCTATCAAAAATTAATTTCAAGAATATCTATAACTTCATAATAGATTCTACAATTAAATTATGACTATCCCTAACTCTATCAGTACTATTGATTGGTCAATGATCTACACGTACGTCATTTGTGACTTAGTCATATCCAGTTATCAGATATCTACTACGTCATGTTCGCCATATTAGTCAAAACTTAATTTAAGATATACTGTAAATGAGAACTGTAAGATATCTTTGAATTTGATGGTGAAATTATAGATATCTTGAACTGAAGTTAATGACTATCAGGTAATAAAATTGTACGATTATTCTTAACTGGATATTACATGTATCTCAATTCCAATTTGCAGGAATATCTGGATTTATATCACATCATAGTGAATATTCTGAAAATGAATTTGTAAGATATCCGTAATGATAAATCCCATACAAATGAAATGGCAAAAAGTACGTCATTTGTCCCTAGGAAGAAGTCTTTGTGGATATCTGAAATGACAATTTGGATAGGAAGAATGTAGTTTGCGGATATCTGAAATGTTCTTTTTGACTAGCAAAACTGAATTAGAGATATCTGGCAACACATATCCCAGTCTAGCTGTTAAAGTTAAAATGGCTTGGCCATACTCCGTGCGATGTATCTGTTACGTCATACCCAAGGGCTGAGGGGTGGGACTGAGGGGAAGTGAACGAGGGGAAGTGGAACTACTAATGAAACGCATCCCTGCTCGCAGCTACCAGTCCACACCTATATTTTGTAGTCTGTGGGACTTGAACCGGCCCGACCTCCGGTTCCCAAGCCAAGTCCCCTACAGACTGTATATCTGTAGGGAGCTACACTAATGTTATTGTGCATGACGTTGCTCTATTTTAGATATCCATAAATACGTAATTTCCCCCTCCCGCCATAATCAAAGAAGAAGTGGGTTTACTTCCTTATTTTTGTGAATGGAAGAAGAAAGAAGCAGTCATGGCGTTGGCTGTAATCGAAAAAACCACCAGAAAATGCCATGAAATTGAACGAGCCCTCACACAGGGGATTTGTGGAGAGAGAGAACGTCGTTCTATTGAAAACTGTGAAAGAAATCTCGGAAGAATTGAACATTTGCTATCACCAGACACAAATAATGAACTCAAAAGCAGTTTGGCTGAACTGAAAACTCTAGTAGACGCAAATTTTCATGCTGGGGAAGACCGACGTTTCTCTGCCAGGCGCATTAGTTCAGGTGAGTCTGTTTATCACTGCATTCATGTATTATCATATGCATTAACGTTAAGGGGGAAATCCGGCCATTTTTAACATCTATATTGGTTTAGTGAGGCTCACCATAGACTGTAGCTGTAGGAAGCAAAAAAAAAAAAACTACACAAAATTATCCGACTCAAATAGTGTAGGAAAACAGTATAACCTTTGTGTTTTTGCAGCAGTCGCTAGCTTTGTTTACTTCCGGAAGACAAGGTAAACAGAGCTAGCAGACTGCCTGCAAAAACACAAACCATAAAACGATCTTTTACCTAACTGGAAGGCTATAACTAAGAAGTAAAAAGCCTGTCCCAGTTGCATAATGTTAAAACAAAATGTATATCTTCACACAAATGAATTATGTTTAGCAATAATTCTTTATATTTATTGATTTACTGTATGCTATGTATCCATGTGCTTATTTATGCAATCGTCAAATGTCTTACTACCACTGTTATGTCCACTGGTCACAGCAATAAATACTGTATTTTTGCAATTCTACAAGTCTCTCCATTTCTAGTGTAGTCTACTGGCCTATTCATTAACAATATGCAATTTCAATGCATGTATGAGAATTGGTATGCAGATATATACTATAAATTACAAAAAATAAACAGTCCAGTGCTGCTTAAACACTTAAACTTAGTTGACTTTTTCTTTTTGTAGGGAGAAGAGGCCGACCAGCCATTGATGTTACCAGAGAACACATTGAATTTCTGCTGAAGCAAGGCCATACAATTGCTAAAACTGCTGAAATACTGGGATGCTCCTCATCATTTCTGTACAAGAAGTCCAAGTTGATGGGTATACCTGTTAGAAGTATGCTGTCTGCAATAGATGATGGTGAACTAGAACAACATGTGAGGCAACTTCAGAGCCAATATCCTAATTCTGGAAATGAGGTAATTGGTGGTCTTTATCTTTAGGCTGTATTTAATTCACATTTGTGTGCCATTGTTTTGTGAATATCATGTCAATTTAGATCTTTTCCAAAATCTGTTTCAGATGATAAGAGCCCTGTTGCGCGCACAGGGTGTGCTTGTTACACGGTCCAGGGTGCGTGAGATGTTGACACGGGTGAATCCTACTGCTGCTGCAAGGAGATGGAGCCGGACAGTTGCAAGACGAGTTTATCATGTACCTTACCCCAATAGTTTGTGGCACATTGATGGGAACATGCGTCTCATAAGGTTATTATTACCAGACTTGTCATACTTTTTTATATTTTGAAAAGAACTTTAGCAAAAACTGGAGTTTACAGCTATATTGTTTCCAGACTACTGTCAATAGTATTGTCATTTTCAAATAATATTTGTTTTTCAACCTTTCTAGATGGGGCTTTGTGATTCATGGTGCAATTGACGGATACTCCCGTCTAATTACTTACCTCAACTGCAGCACAGACAATCGTGCAACAACCGTGCTTTCTCAGTTTTTGAAAGCAACATGCCTCTATGCCCTACCTTCAAGAGTCAGATCTGACCATGGTGGTGAAAACATCCTTGTGGCTTTATTCATGCATCTAGTTCAAGGACTTGAACACAGAGGTTTCATAACCGGTCAATCAGTTCACAATCAGAGAATTGAACGCCTTTGGCGTGATGTATTTTTGCATGTGTTGCAGCACTTTTACCTTGTGTTCTACTCCTTAGAGGATTCATTGGTTCTAAATCCAGATGATGATGTCCACAGACTTTCACTGCATATTGTTTATCTTCCTGAGATTCAAAAAAGACTGGAGCAGTTCAGACAGGCCTGGAACCTCCATCCGTTGCGAACAGAAAACAATCGCACACCAACTCAACTCTGGACAGAGGGCATGCTCAAAAACATTGCAACAGACAGCACAGCTGTCAACAATGTGTTTGGGGAAAATCCCTACAGCAACCAAAACATTGATGCCATCCTGGCGCAGTATGGAATTCAAACACTGCCTACACTTGATGAGGAAGAGTTCCCAGCTGTTAATGTAGAGCCACCTCAACTCATCCTCACTCAGCAACAACAGACATCTGTACACAATGCAATCCAACACTTTTCTGATCTGAAGATAAAATATCAGGCTTGCTGTACTGCAATTGTCAGTATTTTGCAAACTCCGGTATAGTCCAATTCCAAGCCCAGAGACAAGTTTATTGGCTGCATATATTATCCAGGAGGGAAAGACATTCTTAGTTTCAACAGCTGTAAGTAATATTTTCTGTTAAAATAAGGCGGTGCAGCTGATGGAGCTAATGCCAGGTGTGCTAGATTTGTGGGTGCCACTCCAGACATTGGCAGTAGCTAACAGCACTGTTTGTGTTGTGTTTTATTGTCTTATTTTGTTGTGGTATTGTTGGCTGACAGTATTTGTATTGTTCCTTTCTACTCCCATTGTGTTATGATTTGTAGAAAAAGTGAAAAAGCG